GCACTGAGTTGCCGCCATGTGATTGGCTGATTAGAAATTAAGTGTTAACGAGCAGTTGGACAGGTGTACCTAATAAAGTGGCCGGTGAGTGTATATTTCTGCTTTTATTTTTAATTCTGTCAGTTTCGGTCCTCCGTACTGCAGGAGCCTGATAATCATCCATTCATTCAAATCAGGTGTGTTTGAGCAGAGAAAAAAGTAAAACATGCAGGGCTGCGGCCCTCGAGGACCAGGATTGCCCACCCCTGTCTTGGAGAATTAAAAGAGCAAAACGTTTTCACAAAATGTTGTTTTTTATGTAAATAATACAGATTAAGACCTGTAGGGAAAAACATACCTACCAACTTCAGTTAACGTCAGCAGAGATCCAAAACCTTTGCATCAGCAGAAAAAAAAGCTATTTTGTTTGTTCAGAGCTGGTAAACAGTAGAGATTTTCTGACTTTGCATTCCACTTATCCTGTTGAGATTATTTAAAAGTTGAATTTATAATCAACACAACTTAAAGTTAATTCTTTCACTACAAATAATTTTCTTAACGTAATTTGAAAAGCAGGAAACTGTGACAGAGATTTTTTCAGAAATTTTGCAAATATAAATGACACATTCACACCCATACTGACAGAAACTCATTTAAAGGATGTTACAGCTTGTAATGACTCATTTACATATTTATATATTTAGAATCTTAAAAAAAACAACGAAAGCTCAAGAAGTGCTTAGCTTAGCAGCTGCATCCAATTTAAATTAATTATCACATGGTTAATTAAGGAATTGCACATTACCAAAACACTTCTCAGCTGCTGTAATCATTTTTAAAATTGTTAGAAATTCTAAACATTTTCATTGTGTGAAAACCCCCACTAGTACTCACCAACATCAGCTCATTGGATTAATTCCATTCGGCAGATAAAACGACAGAGTCCACTCTTTATCTGTCGTCCAGTGTTGAGGGGAAAAGTCCTTTCTTCTTGCACAGTTGTGGTGAGGAATACTCCTCCCACCCAAAAGGCAGGGATGTGATCTTCCTCTCAGTTGACAGCTTAATGCAACATAAACTGTGCACTCACATGATTTAGCATTGTTGAGCATAGCTCCTCTAAAGCTGATCTGCTTGTAAACATCAAGGGGTCCCAACAACATGGGATGGAGACAACTCAGTGATTCCCAAAGTTGAGGTCAAGACCCCAGTGTGGGTCATGAAACATCAAGTAGTGGTCCAGATAACCTTTAGATACTAACTTCTAAAAATGATCACTTAAGGCATTTATTCACCATAATAATTATAAAAGATAAAAACAGTCAATGTGTTGACCCCTTGTTTAAAGTTGTTAGCTAAATTCATAAACCTAATTTGGCTACATAAATTGGGTCACAAGCCTTGTGGAAACCCCTGGTATGACTGATTACTGCCTTGTATATACAGTAGTTAAAGGTCATTTCTGTAATTAAATCAAGATTCTCATACAAAAATAGTTTGTGGTAACAGTTTACATTATTTTTAACTTTGTCAGAAATAGAATATTGATTATCTACACTGTTAATTTCTGAGATTTCAAGTGCTGGGGTGTGTGTGAAATAAAAAAAAAAGATAAAAAAGACTCAACCTTCACAACAGAACCAAAAGCTGTTGACAGTTTACAGCAAATCCATAATTCTGAAAGAAAAGCACTTAAATAATTGAAAAATAGACCTCAAGCTTCTAAAAGGCAAATTTTTATTGATGTTGAACCATGAATGTGTTAAGACATTAAGTAAAAAAAAAAAATCATGTGGCTGAGATCTTTAAAAAAAGTTATTGAAACTTATTTTAAATCCTAAATACTGACTCTAAAATTATACTCTGTAGCAATTTAATAATCAAACCATTTAACATTTAATGTTTTCTGTTTCCTCATTACAAAAAATCCCTGTTAAATTCAATAAGAGGTTACTGTTTAAAATCAAATAATTACTTAATATTAAATTATCTAGTTTGGCACAGATTAAAAAAAAAGATCAGTTTGTTGGTGTCAAGTTCCGACAAGTTTGGTTCACTTCATTGATTTAAAATTCAAAAGCATTTCATGCATAAGTATATTAAAATACTTCTTTGCTAAAAAAAATATTAAAAATAAAACACCGTGTCCATCGTGTGGACCAAACAGCACTTCTGCTCTCACAACGAAATACAAAACAAGACTTTGTCGTCTTCTTCACTTGCGTCGGACAGCGCACAGATTCTGAGGTCGAGGACAGAGGCTGAAGCCCACAGCTGGGGTTAAATCCAGCTCATCTTTTGAGACTCCAGGAGGAGGAGTGAAACGAAAGCGCTGAAGAAGAGAGGTGAAGAAGATGAAAACCTCCGCTTTGGCCAGAATCTCTCCAAGGCAAGCTCTGCGACCTGCAGGAAGATGGTTGGAGTTAAAACAGGATCATCTGTATGGGAGTTTGTTAAAGCTGCTGAACAGAAGATTAAAAATCCTAAAAGCTGTTTTGTTTCATGTCATCTCTAGTTTTCACTGCAAAGTCAGTCTTTAAAAGGCATACCAAAATTGCAAAAATACCTGCAGAAAAAGACAAGAGGGCATCCCTCCTGACAAAGTTGCCATCATTATCCAGGAAATGAGACGGGTTGAAAGTGTAAGGACTCTCCCATTCACTCTCATCGTACAGGACAGACGTGAGAAGAGGGAAAACGGTTGTTCCCTGTAGGTAAAGGGGGGAAAAAACGCAAGAATTAAAACAATCTGGGCTGTAGAGATGTAGTGGAGGTCATTGGAATGTCCCCAATTGGATGGCTGTGCGAGCTTGTGTGTGTGTGTGTGTGGGGGGGTGTGTATGTAGGTATGTGTATATGTGCCTGATTGTGTGTGTGATGGTCAAATGTCGGGTGTGGCGTCCTGTGTGTTATTGGTGTTCATTTCACATGCTGTATAATTTCTATCAGTTTCTCCCTTTACTGTTCTTATATTTCTCTTCTACTTTTTCTTTCTTACTATAGTATTATAAAAAAAGCCACTGAGGATGCAGAAATTAACATTCAGTTTTGTTTTCTACTGAAGTGGCAAAAAAAAGAATTAAAACAATCTAACGAGGGGAGTTAAGATTGAAATGAACAGATAACCTTTTCGATGAAGTAGCCCTGAAACGTGACGTCTGTACTTGTTGCGTGAGGAAGACTGAGGGGGAAGATGTTTGAAAGTCTGTGTATTTCATGGATCACAGCATCGGTGTACGGCAGGTTCTTCCTGTCCTCCAATCGAATCTGCCGGCTTCCAACGACCCTGCTCAGCTCCTCCAGAACACCATCTAAATGCATGTAACAATTAAATCTAACATGTGCTGGTGGAATATATAAGAAAACTAAAAACAGACAAAATTAAAGTAACTTTTGCACCTTGAATATGAGGGTTCTTGACCATGTGGAAAAGACCCCACTTCACTGTATTCGCTGTGGTATCATTTCCTGCCTCAAGCAGGTTTGTCACGCTGTACAGCAGGTTCTCATCATGGTAGTACAGGTTTTTGAGTCCAGAATCCTATTAAATCCCCAAACAGAAACAGTAAACATCTCAATTTTCTTCAACCAGGTCCTGGGCTGGACTTTGAAGACTCACCTCCAGGTGTTTCTTATGACTCAGAAATGCATCAACGTAACACTTGCACGCCTCAGGGTCCAGAGAATCCTTTAAGTCTGCAATTATCTTACTTGCATCTGCTATGTTTTCATTCACATTCTTGATCAAATCCCTCCAGTTTTTAAGGAGAGGGGCCAGCCAAGGAAAAATGTTGTAAATCTTAAAAAAAAAAAAGACATTTAGCATAAAATAAAATCCACATCAAATCAAATAAACAGAAGTTTCATAGCAATTATTTGCAAAATTTTCAAGGAACTGCAGTAACTATATATATTTTTATACATATCCACCACCCACGTGCCTATAAAATAAATTTACTTTCAGTCTTGAAGTAATTTCCATACCCAGACAGATGCCGACCCTGTCAGACGAATGATTTCACTTTCTCTTTGCACCATCGCCTGGAAGACCGGATCTTTGTAATCAAATCTCCTCCCAAACAGCAAAACCGATATGACATTTGAGGTGGCACAGTTAATGGCCTTGGTGTCACTGAAGGGTTTACCTGTCAGAAAAAAAGTAAATAAGACTGTAAAGTGTGCCTGCAGCAAAATAAAAAGAAGTTGTATGTTTCCTGACAAAAAATAAATAAATTAAAAAATACTCAGAATGGTCTGATTTGGATAATTAGTTCCCACGATTCAGTGTTTTAGTCAGTGCAGTCTTGGGTTGTTATGTGATCGGGCTAAACTTTCCCCTACTTTTGTGCTGTTATGGTGCAGTGACCCCAGTTAATTAGAAGCCTTAAGCATCTTGAGTTCACTCAAGACAAGATTATTTTACCTTCAAAATGTTCAAATTCGTCAATTAGGAAGCAACATTCCTTTGTTATTATCTCTTCACTCAACTTCTTGCCCATTCCAAAATCTCTCAATGTTTTCAGAGCGAAACGTCTCATTTCTTTCCAAGAGTCTCCATTAGAAAAGATGATACCTGAAAACAAATAACGTGTTAACTTTTTTCTTTTTTTAGCAAGACTAAAAAATTTTTTAAAAAAAAAGCTACAATTTTACCATGACTTTTGGCCAAATCATAAAATGCTGGAGTGATATCTCTGTTTCCAAATTCAACAGACTGGTCCACCAGAGCCTGCTTAACTGCCTTGTAACCCGCCAGAACCACCACCTTCTTTGGGCCAAAGTGGACTTGGAAGACTGGTCCATATTTTTTGGACAGCTGGAAAATTAAAGCACACGATCCACACTCCGTAACACACACTAAAACACATTTTAAAAAAAACACACAAGTGACTCACAGCAAAAAGACTTTTGTCAAGCCACTTCAGATCCACCTGGAACAGGTTACCAAACAGAGGAACCGGTCTGGGTCCTGGAGGTTCTGGTCTTCGGCTGGAGCTGAAGCTGGAGTAAAGAAGGTGGAAGAGCAGCAGAGCAACAAAGACTCCAAACAGGGAGACCAAATAGGGAGATTGTAGATCTTCAAACATGATCAGATGGTTTTTTTTTCCAGGAAGACGTCTTCTCTTGGGGAAAAACACTTCCAACAGTGTTTTGGTTTATGTCAGAGCATCAAATCTGGTTTGATCACATTTCTGCAAAGATTGGCAGAAGAAGAAAAAAATCCACAATAGAAAAATCAGTGGTTCCCATCCCTGGTCCTCAGTGACCCCTATCCAACATGTTTTGTTGTTTCCCTGCTATTCAGCAGGACTTCAGAAGATTTTTTAATCACTCTTCATTCAAACCAGGTGGTCAAATCAGGGAAACCTCCTAACAGGCAGGAAAGGAGTCCTTGAGGACCAGGGTTAAGAATCACTGCTTTAATGTTAATCTGATTTATTATTTACAAATAAATGGCAAAGAATCAATGGCTTTGAAAAGCAATACTTAAAAAAACAAAACTAAGTCAATATTATATTTTGAAAATGTCTCATCAAGCTCAGAGAAGCTCTTGAGGTGTTGGTCAACATGCCTGTTTTATTCAGGGCTACATTTGATCACTTCCTTCAGAGTTAAACATCTGGAACGGGAGCAAAGTGCAAGACAAACTAACAAATATTGATCACATTACATTTGTGCTGATAAATCTGAAGTTTACCGTCAGTCATCCAAGACAAAACTAAAAGTGAAAAGTTACTTCTGTTCTGTAGCTGAATAAAACTATTGCTGATGTCAATATTGGACTGAACTTAAGTGATCTAAAAGTAAAATAATATGCAGCCTGACAGTTCAGACTGCGAGAGAGAGAAAAAAGGTTACAACTTTGTGCGCCAGAAACCCATTTGTCCCAGTAATATTTCTGCTGATGAGCTGCTTAAACATTTAAACTTCCAGAACCGAGGCAGCTGCTGCATTCAATTAATTTAATTAACTGCAGCGTCGCTCCTTGCACGCTTCTGTCATTAAGCATAACGGATGAAAAGTTTTGCAATAATAAACAAGATCGGACACATTTTCCCAGCATGCATAAAACATGTGCAACTCACCAGAAATCACCAACTCACAGGTGAACTAGTAGAATTTCTTCTGCTCCGCACCGTTTTGAGCTGAAGCTGAACTGCGTCAAATTTGGAGCGCTGGGCTGGGCGCGCCTGATCACGTGACGTTTACAAATGGGTGTATGGTATGGAAAGCTTGCGAAGCCAGATACACGTGACATTACGCGTTAGTGTAGATCAGAGGTTCTCAGGCCATTTGGGTCTGGGGACCCCTTACAAGGGCGGAAAAAATTCCAGGGACCCCCTCATAAACCCCATGCTGTTTTAAAAGATTATTTATTGTCATTTCAACCTCTAAATGCCATGTGAATATATATTTTTATTAAGTTTATCATGTTTGTTTTATTAGTTCATTGTTCTCCATGCATTTTTAAAAATAAAAACCAAATTAACATTTTAGTAAAAAATTTTGAGGACCCCCAAGATACCTCTCGCAGAACCCTGAGGGTCCAGGGACCCCAGTTTGAGAACCTCTGATGCATCGCCGCGGAACGTCACATGAAAACAAGCAAATATTTAAGAACAAAAATAACTACATCTAAAACAGTACTTCATAAAGTAAGAGAGTTATTCAATGATAAAGATATGTTGTATAGAGCAATAAGTGTTCCACACAAAATATTGTATTGAAGTCTGGGAAAAAGCAAGAGCTGTAAGAATTATCACTAGAAAACATTACAGTCACCCATCAAATACATTATTTTATCAAGTGAAGTTACTGAAATTCTATGATTTGGTTGACTATACTATCAGTTTATGCATAAGGCTCACAAAAGCATATTAACTTTAAACATACTATTAAAATTCGTTAAGAGGGTGAATTATTATGATCGTAAAGGAATATAGATGTTTGTGAAACCTAAATTTTGAACTAGCTTGTGTGAGAGGTTTACTTCGATCCAAGGAATAAGATTATGGAATAATCTGAGTGATGTGAAAAATACCGGATCAATGTTTATGGTTTATGATTTAAACAATGTTTATAGAATGATCGAAGTCATTTTGGTAAAGAAATATGAAATGTGTATCCATTCAAACTGCTGTTTGACGAGGATTTTGTTTTTGTTTAGTTTTTCTTGTTTGTAGAATATTATTTGAATTTATTTTTTTTTGGGTGGGGGGCAGATACAAAATTTATTTTCTTCTTTCTGCTGCCTTTCATTTTATTTGTGATTTGTATTTTTTAGAATTTATTTTGCTATTTCTAAAGCAATGAATAAAGTTAATAAAAACTATTGTGAAAACAAAAAAAATAGGATTATTTTAAATGCTGAATTGATTGTTTAGATATCAGCATTCAAATGTAATATATACCTCAAATTTTAGACCTGTCCATCTACACTGATGTAACAGCATCACAAACTGAACTTTGAAATCTTTGTAATAAAGAACCAAAACAGAAGAGCCTTTTTGATCTTTATAGTTTTGCAGTCAACATTTAAAATTGAACATTAACCACAGTGACACCCCTTACACTGGAGTTTAAATGATGCTGATCCRATGTCTGAAAATGAATAACCTGAGAGCACGGTCAGTTAACCTTTTTATAGTTACTAATGTACAAATTTAGTACATTGCAATATTCAGTGTTGTGTGTATATACAGTGTTTCAGCTGCACTCTCAATTATTCCAACACTCAGCAGCATTACTGTTGTTGTCACAATGTAAAATACCAATAAAACTAGTTCATGAAGTTAATATAAAAAAGTTAAGAACCAACACAAGAACTGAATGCCAACCAGAAATACCTTTGACCTTGTTTGAGCATGTGGTGCCCAATTTCATTAGTAAGTCGTGGGTCAACAGTGCACGCCTACAATTGTGGCATTTGTCACCTGCACCTCATCAAACTGCTCTATGGTTAAATCTAATGTATAGACATATAATAATTAGGGCCRATGCCTTCCAAGCATAGCATACATATTAGACAGCTTTAAAAAAGCATGTAAGGTTGACATGGACCTAAAATATTTTCTTATGATTGCTGGAGTGAAGTTTCACTGATTCAGATGAACCTTTTGAACCGATACCAGGAATATCAAGTGATTTTAACTACATGGAAGCATTTAATGTCCTGAGAGGAGTAGCTTCAGGGTGTTTTTACCAGTAAATCACAAATAGAGCATTTAGTAGAAGAAGGTCCACGTCTTATGGGTCATGTGTATCACTTGAACAAAATACGAAAATATAATAAAGTTTCTGTAATAATCTGAAGAGTTTACAGTGCATGGGATTATGTGTGCAGCGAGATATCATTATATATGAGCCATACAAAAAAGTAAACTCAGGGATAATGCAACWGTCAACAACACATTCATTTGAACTTTATTGATAAAAAGGTTTTTTTCAGACATTGCAACATTTGTGTCATGACATAGGCTAAACAAGACTGTACCAGACAGTTCCAGCTCTCCTCTTTAAAGGCGGTAAACAGCACACAGTTTCTGAGGTTTTGGAGCGAGGGTCAAGCCCACAACTGGTTTTAGATCTATTTCATCTTCAGAAACTCCAGGTGGGGGAGTGAAACGAAAATGCTGAAGGAGTGAGGCGAAGAACAGGAAAATCTCCATTCTGGCCAGACTTTCTCCAAGGCACACCCTGCGACCTGCACAACAAAATGACGAGGCAAGTTTTACCTACAGATGCAGTAAAACCTGAGCATGCTGACCTGGATGAAAGTTTTCAGAGTTGGCTGCCATCAACAATCTGTTTTTCATAAACAAGGCAAATGGATCAAGCCAACRATATGTTTATAAAAACTTGCTTGTAGCTCGAAAAATATGTTGTATGCTAGTACTTAAATCCAAATAAGTACCTGCAGAGAAAGGCATGAGGGGATCTCTCCTGATGAATTTACCCTCCTTATCCAGGAAATGGGAAGGGTTAAAACTGTGAGGACTCTCCCATTCACTCTCATCATACAGGACAGATGTGAGGAGAGGAAACACAGTTGTTCCCTGTAAGTAAAAAGAAAGTAGGCTTAAAAAAAACAACAAATGTGACTTCAAAAAATGTATTAGTGATAAACTAGATGACCTTTTGTAAACSACTGACCTTCTCGATGAAGTAGCCCTGTAAGGTGACATCTTTGCTCGTTTTGTGAGGAAGGGCCATAGGGACGACGTTTGCGTATCTCTGTGCCTCGTGAACAACCGCATCAGTGTACGGCAGGTTCTTCCTGTCCTCTATCCCAATCTGACGGCTTCCAACCACCCTGCTCAGCTCCTCCTGAACACCATCTGGTTAGACGGTGAATATTTTTCACAGATTATTGGTGAATTACCATCAATTTAAAAAAATAAAACTGTTGGCACGAGAAGGAAATTTAGCACCTTGAAAATGAGGAAACTTAGCCATGTAAAGGAGACACCACTTCAGAGTGTTGGCCGTGGTATCAGTTCCAGCTGCGAACAAATTGATTACACTGTACAGCAGGTTTTCATCTCGGTAGTGCAAGTTCCTCATTTCTGAATCCTTATAGAGGTATTAGAAAAATAAAATAATCRTATTAATAAATATTTAAAAGCCTGGGGATGAACTCATTGTTGTCATTTGATTTCTCACCTCCAGGTTATTTTTACGGATCAGAAATGCTTCTATGAAGCATTTGCAGTTCTCAGGGTCCAGACTTTCCTTTAGATCTGCTATTATCCTCCTGATATCTGYCTTAGTGTCTTCCATGTTGCTCATCAATTTCGTCCAGTTTTTAAGGAAAGGGCCCAACCAAGGAAYCAAGTTGTAAATCTGACAAAAACAAAAAGAGTATATGAAAGTACACACACTCAATCAAATTTTGAATAACCTGATCAAGATTTCTAAAGTTATATCGGTACAGAAATAAATCAACATAATCAACTGATTTAAGAGCTTTGAAATAAGTGAAAAATTATAAACTGCATCTGATGCAAAAGTTTTGTTGGAGTCATGAAGAAAATCTAACCACAATGGAGGCTGTTCCCATCAGATGAATGATCTCGTTATCTCTTTTCACCATTGTTTGGAAGGTYGGGTCTTTGTATTCAAATCTCCTTCCAAACATTAGAGCTGAAATCACATTTGAAGTTGCGTAGTTGATGGCCTGAGTGTTGTCGAAGGCTTTACCTGGGAGAAAAATCAGAAATTATAGTTAAGGATTGGAGGGTTTTTTTTTTTTTGTTTGTTTTTGAGAGGGGGGCTGTACATTTGAGCCCCTTTCACACTGGATGTCAATTCCACACTGCCCTCCCTRAACAACACAACTTTTCAGAATGTGCAAAAATCTGGAAAATTGTGCATCGCTGCTACCATGCTCCTTCAAGTCCCACCCAAGGCTCACTGCCCCATAAACATAAAGCACCACAACTTAAATTCRCATTATCACAAGTAAATGAAGCCCACTGTACATCTGAAGACTTCACCAAGACCCCAAAAGACCATCCAAGTTCTASCAAAAAATAGTTTTGTGTCACARTGGTTTATTTTTGTCACCCAGCATAAAAAGGACCAAAGTACCTCYTGTGTAAATGTCACTGTAATAGAACTAATACTTTTATGTTTAAGCAAGTAATTCATGACATCCTTTAATGACCTAGATTTTCATGACATGCTGTTCATCTGCAGACAGAATGATTAAAGTCAGAACAAGATTTGCTAACAACAGTCATTCTTAGATWTCACTTGTGTTTATCTTTGTGATTTCCACTGACCTTGTATCAAATCTTGTTAAGATGGCATAATGGTGTTTGTTAATTTATATATGAGGCCTCTCGAGACACAGTGTTCAACAGTGTTCAACAGACAACAGCAGAGTGGAGAGACACTGACAGAGAGAAGCAGAGGCACAGAGACAGGCCAGGTTCTCTGTGTTTCCTGTTGTTGCAATAAAACTCAGCTGATCATCTCATGGAGTACCTTCATTCTTGGACCACGTATTTCTGTCTTTTTTAAATAAATATTACCATAACAGTCACAAAGACCCTCTTATAATAATTGCAACTGTGTAAATAAACCTGAGCACCATTATAAAAGAGTTACCTTCAAATTGTTCAAATGCTTGAATCAAATGGCGACATTCCTCAGTAATGGTCTCCTCACTCATCTTTTTGCCCATTCCAAAATCTTTCAGTGTTGTCAGAGCRAAGCGCCTCATTTCTTTCCAGTTGTCCCCATTTGAAAATATAATACCTGAAAACATAAAATAATCAYGTTTTACTGACAACAGGCTAGTTGACACTTCTATTTTTATTTATTTATTGTTATATATATTTAGTATTACCATATTCCTGGTTCAAATCATAGAAAAGTGGGGATATATCTCTGTTTCCAAACTCATCAGCCTGGTTGACCAGAGCCTCTTTGACGGTCTTGTAACCTGCCAAAACCACTACCTTTTGTGGTCCAAGGTAGACTTGAAAAACTGGTCCATAAATTTTGGAAAGCTGAAAACACATTACAGGTAAAAGTTCAAACTTTTAAAAAATCTGTCTGGGATTTAGTAGAATAAATTTATGGACAAACAGTAGATTACTCACATCAAAGAGACTTTGGTCGAGTCTCTTCAGATCCAACTGGAACAGGTTACCAAACAGAGGAAGAGCTCTGGGTCCTGGAGGTTCTGTCTTTYGTTGGGAACTGGAGTGAAGAAAATGGAAGAGCAGCAGAGCAACAAAGRCCCCAAACAGTAAGACTGAAGTGGGGTATTGAAGAATAACTTCCATCATGCTCTTATGACCTGTGAGCTTCTGCTGAGTCCTCTGAGACACAAACCTTCTGACTGAGCAGCTGTCCAAAACCTACATTCTAATCATTGYACAGCTGACAACCAATRACCTCAATCCAGGGGCGGTTCTAGGGGCGGGGCCACARGGACATTGGCCCCATCTGAAATYTGATTGGCCCCCTGAAGTGCCACTGCCCTGTCACTCATCATGTTGAACAAATACTTGGCCCCCTCTATGAATACTGTGGCCCCTGGATGGCCCTGTACACTGAAAAATCCTAGATCCGCCATTGCCTCAGGCAAATAACAAATTTACTGAGAGTTAGCAGAAACAGGAGGTTTTGTCACTCMGAACACTTCCTGTTTTGGCCTAAAATAYGGCAAAGCTAAAGCAAAAAAATAGAAAATAAAAAAGAGACACTAATTGCATCGGTCATTGTCCGTAGGGTATATTTTAGAGTCTGTGTTTGCTTTAGTTTTCTGAGTTTTGGTCAGTTCAGGACCTGTTTTTTTTTTTTCTTGTAGAACCTTTACATTGGTACATTTCAATTTGTTTTCCTTTAAGACAACTGTTAGGATGCTGAATTATTTTTTTACATTTTGAAAAGATGTAAAAAAAATGCTAAATTTATTTATATATTGTAACTGTTTTTTTTTTAGTGGGTTAGCATTTTTTTGATCCCATGCCTATTTGTGAGTTTGCTCACTTACAAAGAAAATAATATTTTTAGCAGCAGAAGTAGAATTTTCTCACAGGCAACAACACCTTTAAAAATCAAAATATATGTTTTCCCCCAAATAATAGAGACTATTTTTTATTTAACAGTACAAAACTCAATGACAGTCAGTATTGTTAGGAAATACTCTATAAGAATAAAACATTATTGTCAGAATAAAAAAAAATCAATCAAGTAGGCTCAGCTCTTTTCCTCAGTGGTGATGGACAAMACTCAGTTTCTGAGGTTTAGGACCAATGACCATACCTACAACTGGTTTCAGATCCAGTTTGTCCTCTGAAACTCCAGGTGGAGGAGTGAAACAAAAATGCTGAAGAAGGGAAGCAAAGAGCAGGAAGAGATCCATTCTGGCCAGACTCTCTCCAAGTAACGTCCTGCGACCTGCAAAAATGGTGAATAGTCCTACTACAGGTTCAATATCAGTGTTTAATTGRCTTATCTGAGTGATGSAGCAATTCATGTTGGTGGCCTTATGTTCACGCTACTAGCCTAACAAATCTTAAAAAGTCTTAAATGAAGCAACCCAGCTCTTTTCTAGTTKGTTKTKTGTACTTACCTGAGAATCTTTATCAACTCAAAAGTAAACTGCCACAAGTTGTTCTRTTTATGTAAACTGAACTCACAWGCAAAYRATTTTCTCCAGACAAATAAAATTTCAATKTTGAAAGTTGAAAATTTAAYAGCAACAGCAAARTTATTGGCAGTCAAGCTTCCTGTCCCCCTAAATTTGATGGTCACAAYGGAAAAGGGGTGTGGTCACWAAGYKGTCCCTRGGGGGCAGTGAGACCCAACTTTTTTTCTGTYAACRTGCTTTTTTTGAAAGAGTGGACCCYAGGGGACATGAAAATTCCTGAGAAGTTCAGTAGTGGGGTGTGCATGGTGACCCACCCTAACCCACAGACTAAAAAAAGATGAAAGTTTTCATCTTCTGTTGGGATTGTGACCAATTGACCCCCCCCCCCCAATGACATCATCACACAGATATTTGTTTAATGAAATGTCATGTACATGGAAGAGCTAATCAATACCAATCTGCTGATACCTTGTTTTTAAACTTTGGTTGGTTTATAGCAAAGTTACTGGCAGTTAAGGTCCATGTACCCCTAATTTTGATGGTCACAAATAGAAAAGGGGTGTGGCCAAAAAGGGTTCCCTGSGGGGCAGTGGGACCCAACTTTTTTTCTGTTAACATGCATTTTCTGAAAGAAYGGACCCCATAGGGTACATGAAAATACCAGAGAAGTTCAGTACTGGGGGTGGGGGGGGTGCACGGTGAGCCACCCTGGCCCATGGACTACTGGTCACATGCATGTAAATGTGAAATGGGGTGAAACTGATAAGGGACTGCAATCAATACTCCCCTGTAATGCTGTGTTTTAATCTATCTCCTGTTGCCCTTGGATCTAAACAACTCAAAGCCTTAAAGTTTTAAAACTGGTTTGTTTTTACCCAAAGACATCAAGAGGGTTAAATACTTGAATTTTCAGTTTAGACGTGTGTTCTGAAGGTTATAAAGTCAATGATCTATTGTTGATAATACTTCTGGTCACTGGATTGCACTGCTGTGACAGTGTAGGCAGAAAAGATTGTTGGGATGTGGCTCCTTTACTCCTCTCTCAAACCAACTCCTGGCATTTAATTGCATACAGGAGAACTGTGATCAGTTATACTGTACATTGGGGACTCTGCAGTTTACACTCATCTACAGGCAAGTGGTCACTTTTTCAGTGAGGAAGATGTTCACATCCTTGATAGAGAGGAACGTTGTTTTTGAGAATGAAGGAAGCAATTTTTGTGAAGAAAAACTGTCCATCATTAAACAGGGCTGGAGGCCTTGTTATCCAGTTGTCATCTTCCTACAATGCTGTTAAAGCAAGTATGGCTCAGGACAATTCTGGTGACAGGAGGCTCCAGATTCATCTTCCTGTTAGCTGAAGGGGACAAAACTACCTCCAAGAGTGAAAACCAGCTCTAAAAAAAAGAAAAAYAAAAAKTTAAACCAGCTTGCAGCACACAGTGCTTTGAAGCAACGTATCGTCAGTAAAATAAAAGAATAATTGGCTATAAGCCCACCAGCRACCGGTTCTCCACCGGCATCAGCTGTCACTTCGACCTGCAACCGGCTCAYACCACCAGCCAGRGGTTCCCCATCACTGTCGGCTACTGCCTTGAACCGCTACTGGCWTGGCCCACCAGCCGYCGGTTCTCCATATAGGSGAACAGGTCTGGGCCTAGGAGGTTCTCGTCTTTGTTGGAAACTGAAGCTGGAGGAGTGGCAGAGCAACAAAGACCTCAAACAGGGAGACTAAAGTGGGGGACTGAAAAAAAAAAACCTCCAACATGTTTCAGTTTTTTTTTTATTTTTTTATTTTTTATTTTTTACCATTAGTCCTGTTGAGATCTCAGATTTTTTCAAGGGAGGCCTGGGCCTGAAGGCAACCTATTGTACATGTTTTTAAGGGTGGGGGAAACCTGAGTACCCAGAGGAAATCCACACAAGCCCAAGAATAACATGCAAACTCCACAGAGAAAGAGCCCAGGTCCAAACTGGGGATCAAACCCAGGACCTTCTTGCTGTGAGGTGTCGGTGCTCCAGGACCTTCTTGCTGTGAGGTGTCGGTGCTCCAGGACCTTCTTGCTGTGAGGTGTCGGTGCTCCAGGACCTTCTTGCTGTGAGGTGTCGGTGCTAACAGGACCTTCTTGCTGTGAGGTGTCGGTGCTCCAGGACCTTCTTGCTGTGAGGTGTCGG